CTTGAGCTTGCAGACACTTGGCGGATTTGTCGGATAGGTATGCGGATATTCGACGTAGATTTCAGCATCGACGTCAGCGTATAGAAACGCGTTGGAGACATCAATTTGTCGAAGCGGAAAATTCTTCGCAGCTGCTTCGCAGATAACGAGACGAACACTTGTGTGTCGGCTGACCGGGGCGAAAGTTAGAGTGTAGTCAACCCCATGAGTTTGGTCAAAACCACGAACAACCCACTTTGCCTTATGTTTTTCATAAGAGCCGTCAGCTTTCGTCTTCACCCTGAAGACGCATTTTCCGGTAAGAATATTTTTATTTGTAGCTTTTTCGATGGGTATGAGATCCCAAGTCTCCCGTTTTTCCAGGGCAGCCAGTTCACGATCCATGGCTTCACGCCATTTTTCGCGATGTGGTCCTGAAAGGGCCTGTCGGGCAGTTTTCGGTTCTGCGACTTCTGAAGAATTATGCTGTACTGCTGCTGCGAGTCCCAGTATCTGAAGCCGTGTTTGATAATTAGGACTGTCGTCGGTCTGTCCTGCGAAATTTACAGGTTCACACTGGTTCACACTGTTCACCACTTGCCCCCCCAATTTCGTCAGGATCGACGCGGATGCTGTTGTCAGTTACAGCTGGCATGGGACGTCGTTGATCGTCCACCAGGTAAGTATGATGAACTTTACGAATATCGTCCGGATGAGTGTCGACGAGAGGAATGAATTCCGGAAATCCGGAAGACGTGGTTAGTATAGGTGGATCAGGAGCGTCTTCACGTGCACCGTCAACGTCAGGTTCTTTGCTGGCAGCAAGTTCGGCGTCAGCGCTGGCGAATGAACGAACACCGTGGAAAAGTGTAGCAGGGTCACGCTGCGTGGCGAGATACTGTTCGAAGACAGGAAGGGTCAGATTTTCGTAGAAAATACAGTCGCGGGCAGGAATTAAAAGTCGACTGCGATAATCCATAATACGCCAGGCAGAAAACTGCTTCTCAAGGCCGAGATGAAGACCCCATTTAGCGCGTTGATCGAACTTTCCGAGCGGAGCGGTAGGAGGACGATATTGCACGATACACCCAAAAACTCGAAGAAGTTTCATAGTGCCCAATTTTCCTGTCCACAACAAGTGAGGTGATGCGTTGTTGGGTAAAGCCGACGAAGACAGAAGGTTATGCAACAGTGTTGCGTGGTCCATTGCGAAGGGCCAGAAGAGTGGGCCGAGTTGGGAGTGTGCGAGTAGTGCTCGCATCTTTTCTTGCAGAGTACGATTGAGGCGTTCAGCTACACCGCTCTGCTGGTGAGCGTGGGGAAGTGAGAACAGGCGCCGTATGCCTCGTTCTTGCAGGTACGTCGTAAACTCGAGGCTGCGATATTCCCCAGCTCCGTCACACTGGAAGGTTTTGAGTGTTGTGTCGGACTCGCGTTCTGCTAGAGGTAGCCATGTCCGAAACGCTGTGAAGGCAAGAAAACGGTTAGTCATGTTACCAGTCCAGACGTATCGAGTAGAAGCTTCAGTGAACGTGATAACGTATTTCTCGCCGTTGAAACCCTCCGCAGGTAAGTTGAGAATATCACCGTAAACTTTTTCCATTAATCGATAATCCTCACCGCCAGGAAAATGGGTCGGGTACGGTTCGTGCGGTAGATTTGCTGCTGGGCAGATCAAGCAGGGTGACGGACGATTAACCGGTTTCATTTCGAGGCCGCCGGGTAAGAGAAGAGAATTTTTGTCGAGAACAGCTGCTTTGATTGTGTTGTTGAGCGTAGACTGCGACGGATGACCAAGACGCTTATGCCAGGTTTCTGCAGTTGCTTTGTGTCCCTGTGCGCGCAGGTAATAATCGGCGTTGGCGAAGAAAGATAACAGCAGCCGATGACCGTCAGCGTGAACATGATCTGTGACTGGCGGGATGAACCTGGTGAGGTTAGGAGGTGGTATTTTGATTTCGACGTCGATGGATTCGCCAGGTGACAGAACTAACTCCCCGCTCTCTTGATCTGATGTTGCAGGTTTAGGCTCAACACCGACAAGTCGTCCGGAGTCGAGGACTTCCGGCTTCTCAGCTTCCGGCTTCTCAGCTTCACTTGAAGAATCTTTGGTATGTTTCGATGCAGACCGCTTCCAAGATGGTTTATCTTTCGACCAGCAGGTGTCAATAGTGTGTCCTGCTTTGCGACAAAAGGAACAAACAGGCTTGTGACGTGGATTAGAATAAAAACTGATTGTATTGTTTACCACCTTTTCCCTCCTCGAGCGTTGTGCAGGTCCATATCCTGCTGCTCGGCGATGAGAGCGGCACAGAGCGCTCCCTGAGACAACTGTGCTTGCATCCGAAGTATAGAGCGACACTGTCGCCATTCTGGTCCAAGACCCGCGAGGAGCACCGTGTGGAACATAGCGTCGGGGAAGTACCTTCCACACTTCTGAAGTTGATCACGCAGATTTCGAGCGCGGTTGATATACTGCGTCACCTTCTCGCCGTTTATCATCTGTATATTTGACAGCTGCATCAAAATTTTACTCTGGTTGACAGTGTCCTTTGCCATGTGAACCCCTTGCAGGTATAACCAAGCTGCTTCAGCGGGAGCGGCACTGGTACGAAAAGAACGAATTACGAGCTGTTCAGTCGGTGTCAGATTACGAACGAGAACTGTGTATGCAGTCAGCGACGCCGATCGAAAAGTGGCTTGTTGAAGTGGTGACCCGTGAGATGGAAAGGGTGCTGTGCCGTCGAACAGCTGCCAGAACCCCGCGGTCTGAACAAGAAGCTCAAACTCAAAGCTCCAGGTATAAAAGTCTTGACCGTTAAAAGGCATTGTCGTTTTAATTTTCGTTGGATTTGCAGAAGCGGGAATATAATTTCCGGTACCGTCAGCTGATTGTAGCTGATAAAGTGATGGCACCTGTGACCCTTGTGGTGTTTGTTGTCCTTGTCCAGCAGGAACGAAAGAGAAGGAGTTGTTCGACCCGTCACTTCCTTGTGGCATCTGACCATGCTGATAACTGGAGCCATCAATGCTCATAGGAGTTGGAAACATTTGGTTAAGTGACAAGACGGCAGCATTAACACGTTGTTGAAGATTTGCTGGCTGGTAAGCACCTTGATATTGATAAGGTCCAGTCGGTACGAAATTGGACTGTTGTCTTGGTTGACTAAAAGAACCAGTGACTGCGGCTGCAGCTGTTGTGGCTGCTGATGCTGCTGTTGCTGCGGCTGCTGTCGATGATGCCGCTGCTGTAGTTGTGTGTACTGGCTGATTGCTCAGTGGCATGCCGTACATCGGTTGTTGCTGATATTGTTGTTGTTGTTGTTGCTGCTGCAGATTAGAATTATCAGCAGCTGGAGACGCTGTTGGGCGTGATGGGCTCGTAACAGAAGAGTCGTTGTTGGACTGTGGAGATCCAGACATAGTTGTAGAGTATATAGTTGGAAGCTTGTAGTATCCTAAGACGCTCGCAATACCATGTTAGAATTTGAAGTGAGTTTGTAGGATCGTACTACTTAGGATGGTAACTTCCTGACGTAGCGGAAGTCTTATATGAGTTAAAGCCAGTTATGAAGGCTTTGTCTAGACTTAATAAAAGTCTATGTAGTGATATGTTTCAGGATCAATGTCTCTGAAATCAGATATATTATAAAATGACAAACGTACAAAATATATAGCTAGAGTAAAGTACCTGTACGCCTATTGTACTGTGCTATTCTTATCTTGAAACGGTACGTAACTATTCGCGAGGTCTATAGCTACGTGCTGACGTCATCCTAGGTCGCGTAGCGCTTTGCTGATGTCAGCCTATCGGTACTTTACTGTACTACACGAATTTCCTTCAAGTGCTTATGTCTCGTTATTATCTCAACAGAAGGTACAACTTATCTACAAAATACGTGCGTAATACGTTTAGACTAAACTCATCACCACATCATGATAGTCGCTCTTTCTATATGCTCCAATACCACCGTTCCCCACCCTCGCCTGCTCCTACCCCCCCCTTTCACCCCTCCACTTCCCTTCCAACGACCCCAGGAGGCTACCACAGTAACAGCTCGATCAATCATTACAAACTTTACACGCCTTGCGACAATTCCTAACACACCCGCCTTCTCCCACCATGTACCCGGGGTTCCGCTTACACTTGCTGCCCGCCCGCCCACATGGCCTGCTACCAGCTCGATCAGTCGTTACAAACTTTACACGCCTTGCGACAATTGCCAACATACCCACCTTCTCCCACCATATACCCGGGGTTCCTCTTGCACTCGCCGCCCGCCGCTCACATGGCGCAGTTTGGGTGCTCGTCAGTACAGTCCAAAAGGCTCCTGCGCGTCATGTACTTGAACATGTGCACCCACTTCTCCGCCGTCCACTTTGCTTCCAGCCTGCCGCCGGCACTGCCGCCCGGGCCGCCGCCCGTGCTGCCGCCTGCAGCAGCACTGCCATCGCTCCCACTGCCGCCCCTCATTCCCCTAAAAAGCCCCCCCAAGCTCGTCCCCACAGTGGGTGTTGGGTGGGAGGGAGGGAGGAGAGGGCAGTCCTCCCGGTGTGCACTGGGGTCGTTGTATCCGTTGGGGGAAAGGTGGAAGTAGAGAAGCGCATTGCCCTTGCGCGGCCTCACTGGGGGGAAGGGTGGGGGGGAGAGAGAGGTTGGGGGAGAGAACGACAGGTACCGCAGGGAATAAGAGTGCTTCTTCACAACCCAGCAATGGGGGCAAAGTCAAGGGAGGGCAAGGGGGGCATGGGCAAGGGGGGCATGGGCATGGGGAGCATGGGCATGGGGGGCATGGGCATGGGGGGCATGGGCATGGAGGGCATGGACATGGGGGGCATGGGCATGGGGGGCATGGGCAAGTCTGCTAAAAAAGGACTTAACATTCCATTCCACGACAAAGACCAGTACAACTCAACCCCTCGCCCCCCTTCACCAGCAGTGTGGCCTCTATCCCAGGGGTGGTGGGGAGGGGGGGGGGGTGGTGAGGAGGAGGAGTGCAGAGCGGTGCAATGCGCCTCACCAGCAATGTGGCCTTTAGCGCAGTCTGAGACGGACCCAAAGTCCTGCTCGCGCTCAGGCTGGCAGAGGTGCACAGGGGGAGAGGTGCACAGGGGGAGAGGTGCACAGGGGGAGAGGTGCACAGGGGGAGAGGTGCACAGGGGGAGAGGTGCACAGGGGGAGAGGTGCACAGGGGGAGAGGTGCACAGGGGAAGAGGTGCACAGGGGGAGAGGTGCACAGGGGGAGAGGTGCACAGGGGGAGAGGTGCGCAGGGGGGGAGGTGCACAGGGGGAGAGGTGCACAGGGGGAGAGGTGCACAGGGGGAGAGGTGCACAGGGGGAGAGGTGCACAGGGGGAGAGGTGGAGGCGTACACGGGGGGGGGGGAGAAGGAGCAGAGAGGGGTGCAGAGTGAGGAGCACAGAGGGGTGCAGAGTAGCACAGAGGGGTGCAGAGGAGCACAGAGGGGTGCAGAGTGAGGAGCATGGCGGTAGAAGCATGAAGAGGAGGAGGAGAGGGCGGCAATGGGAGTATCGAATCCAGAAATGCACTTGAGGGGTAGCGGAAAGAGAGCCGAGCCGCGCAAGAGGGGGGGAAGATCGAAAAAGAGTGAACGGAAATCAAGGGGGGGAAGGCAAGGTATAGAAGAAATGCACCGATGAATTTGGGATCAAGAAGGGGTAAGGGGCGGGGCTGTGGGGGAGGGATTCAAGGGGGAAAGTGACCGAGGCAACCAACCTTGCCTTTGGGGAAAGTGACTTCGCCGCCCCGCTCCACGTCCGAGAGGAAGAGGACGAGCGTTGCCGCCCGGTGCAGCACCTGGTGGTCCTCCTTGTGTTGGAAATAGTCATAGTGCACGTCGAATTGCTGGCCCGTGTTGTAGCGCATCAGCTGGGGCTCCGTTGGCTCTGAGAGGAGAGGTGGGGCGAGTGGACGCAGTGGGTGATGTGAAGAGCGAGCAGTGACTGCCTCTCCTCCGGTCCTCCTTGTGTTGGAAGTAGTCAGAATGCACGTCGAATTGCTGGCCCGTGTTATAGCGCATCAGCTGGGGCTCCGTCCGTGGGCTCTGAGGGGGAATGTGGGGGGATGTGGGGGGATGTGGCGGGAGAAGAGTGGGGGGATGTGGTGGGAGGAGAGTGGGGGGATGTGGGGGGGTGTGGGGGGATGTGGCGGGAGGAGAGTGGGGGGATGTGGGGGGATGTGGGGGGAGGGGAATACCTATAATGGGGGATTGGGAGAAGGTGAAGGTCTGGCATGTAGGAAAGGCAACATTGGAACAGGTAAATAATGGAGCACTTCTCTTGGCTTACTACGCGGGAGGAAGAGCCACGATGAAATGCGGTCTTCAATAGCCCTCACCCGCTCGTCCTGGTGAGTGTGAGCAACGGGATGTGCATGGTAGAGAGTGTGGGCTCCAGCAAGACGTGGGTGTTTGGTCTAGTGGCATGATTCTCGCTTAGGGTGCGAGAGGTCCCGAGTTCAATTCTCGGAACACCCCAAATTTTGTGTCGGCCATGGAAACAAATGACGTCAGCGATTTCTACATACACCGTGTGAACCTGAAATCCACTGCACACATTCACACTGCCTAGCACTCTTTAAAACCGGGGTGCACATTCAGCTGAATGTGCATCAAAGGTTATCCCTTGACTGAGTGGGTTACGAGGTGTGCTTTCAACCCCTTCAAGTCGAAATTCGTTTCCCCCCTCCCCCGCAATTTCGTTTCCCCACGCCCCCGCAATTTCATTTCCCCCTCCCCGTCGAAATTCGTTTCCCCCCTCCCCCGCAATTTTGTTTCCCCCCTCCCCCGCAATTTCGTTTCCCCCCCCTCCCGCCAATCTGTTTCATCCCTCCCGCCATTCGGTTTCACCCACTCCCGCCATTTCACCCCCTCCCGCCACCTACGAAATGCCCGAAGCTCTAGCGGAATCATTTTTTTGTCGCCCCTCGTGAGCCAATCACTGTTTTTCTCCAAACCCCCTTCCCAACATCTCAAGCCGAACCGCGTTGAATGTGCACCCTGGTTTTAACAGCATCACACCCCTCGCTGGGCATGGCCATGGCATGGCATGGGGATTGCTGTTGTCGAATCCAGCCAGGGCAGGGGCGCTCCTGTATTGATGATCATGCAGTGTTTTTTTAGAATTTCCGAGATTTGAGACGACTCAGAAGTTCCTTGGTAATGCAGGTGGCTACTTTGAGATGAGATGCCTCAAAAGTAGACTTCCTACATCTCTCAACAACCACCTGAAACCTTTGACCTAACTTATTCACCTCCCTGGAGCAGTGTACCCTTTTCTTTCTTTTAATAATAATAATAAAAAAAACAGAATATCACCCATATAATATCCCGCAACCACGCATTCCCTCTTTTCCCCTCGCACACCACGTTACACCACACCTCACCGCACCGCACCGCGCCGCACAGCACACATCATATTTCCGGAGGAAGGTGCCATTGGCTTGTGTGCCTGGGCAGAGCAGCTTGAGTGGTTTTTTTACCGATTAATGTACCACCGCACCACACATCACCACACCGCAGCGCAGCGCACCGGACCACACCACACAGCTCACCTGATATTTCCGGAGAAAGGTGCCGTTGGCTAGCATGCCTGGGCGGAGCAGCTTGTGCTGGGACTGAGGGCAGCGCGGAGAGACGCGGGAGGGGGGGGGAGTGGGGGGGAAGTGGAGGGAAGCAGCGTGCAGGGAGGATTTCTTTTGGCGTCAGAAGATATGTGCCGTTGGCTAGCATGCCTGGCCTGAGCAGCTTGGGGTGGGCCTGTGGGCGGCGGGGAGGGACGCGGAAGGGGGGGGGGGGGGAGGGGGAGGGAGGCAGCGTGCAGAGTCAGAAAATATGTAGTGTTGCTGGGCTGAGCAGCTTGGAGTGGGACTGAGAGAGGTGGGAGGAGGAGCGACGGAGGAGTGACAAATTAGTGACGGAAGCGGGACGGAGGAGGAGGAGGAAGCAGCGTGCAGGAGAGAGACAGGCAAAACGAGCATTGCGCATGCGAAAGGTGGGGTGGCTTGCGTGGCTGGGCGGATCAGCTTCGGGTGCGACTGGGGCCAGCGAGGAGAGGCGGGGAGGGGAAGGCAGCGTGCAGGAGGGAACTATATGGAGGAGGGAGGGAGAGGCGCATGGAAGGGGGGGATAGCGTGCTGTGCGTGGGCGCATGGGTGCATGGGATGGATGAACGGGAGCATGGGAGCATGGGAGCATGGGTGCATGGGTGCATGGGTGCATGGGAGCATGGGAGCATGGGTGCATGGGAGCATGGGTGCATGGGTGCATGGGTGCATGGGAGTATGGGTGCATGGGTGCATGGGTGCATGGGTGCATGGGTGAATGGGTGCATGGGTGCATGGGTGCATGGGTGCATGGGTGCATGGGAGCATGGGAGCATGATTGCATGGGAGCATGGGTGCATGGGTGCATGGGTGCATGGGAGCATGGGTGCATGGGTGCATGGGAGCATGGGTGCATGGGTGCATGGGAGCATGATTGCATGGGAGCATGGGTGCATGGGAGCATGGGTGCATGGGAGCATGGGTGCATGGGTGCATGGGTGCATGGGTGCATGGGAGCATGGGTGCATGGGTGCATGGGTGCATGGGTGCATGGGTGCATGGGAGCATGGGTGCATGGGAGGATGGGTGCATGGGTGCATGGGTGCATGGGAGCATGGGTGCATGGGAGCATGGGTGCATGGGTGCATGGGTGCATGGGAGCATGGGTGCATGGGTGCATGGGAGCATGGGTGCATGGGAGCATGGGTGCATGGGTGCATGGGTGCATGGGTGCATGGGTTCATGGATGCATGGGAGCATGGGAGCATGGGAGCATGGGAGCACGGGAGCATGGGTGAATCAGTACCACACGGGCAAATTTAGTATTTTGCGGATGTGAGAGGGAGAAGAGGGGGGGACGAAAAGGGAGACGTAACGGGGGGCGAGAGGGGAGGCAGGGACGCCATACCAGTGCAACGAGGTGATCACACTCCGCATGGGAGAGACAGAGAGGGAGTGTGTGTGAGGGAGAGAAAGAGGGGGGGGCGAAAGAAGAGGCAGGGAGGCCATACCAGTGCAACAAGGTGATCACACTCCGCATGGGAGAGGAATCCGTGGTACACGAACGCCCTGTCGAGGGTGGGGGAAGGAAGGGAAGAAGGGGAAGCTGTGGGAAAGGGGGACGGGCGAGGGAAAAAAGGAGCGAAATCTCAGATGCGATTACACTTGGAGGCGGGAAAGGACCTACCTAGGCCTACCGAGGTTGCGTGGAGGTCTGCACGACCCTGGCAGGGTCAACCTGCCACCCCACTGCTGCTTGATAGAACGCTGACGAGACTCTCAGCCGTTAGTGCGCCACGTGTACGGTATCCTTATCCGTATACGCAACCTACCGGGGCTGGATGGAGATCTGCACGACCCTGGCAGGGTCAACCTGCCACCCCAACACTGCTGGTTGATAGATCACTGGAAGGGTCAAACTGACAACCTACCGAGGCCGAACGGAGCAACCTACCGGGGCTGGATGGAGATCTGCACGACGCGGGAAGCGTCCACCTGCCACCCCAACGCTGCTGCTTCATCCAACGCTTCCGAGCCTCTCAGGCGCTTGTGCGCCACGTGTACCCGCTCGTATCTGCGTCCGTATACGGCGCTCGACGCGCTTAGGAGCCAAAGGGAGATGAATTGCAACAGGAGACTTGAGTTGACTGCGTTGACTGCGACATGCCTGAATCGGACCGATTGGCGTCTTTGGAACATGCGAATCCGGCTGGCCATAGTGAAAACAGATTACAGTGATCCGGTTGGTTAATTAATCTGGTTGAATCATGGTTCTGATAATGTCACCATCAGTGGTGATAAGCGATAGCCCAGTGCGACAGGCTGTCGGTCATCGAACTGAAGATTTACGCTTACAACATGACCAGCGTACGCGACTCGAACACGAATTGGCGCACGGAGCCTATATAACCACGCGCGAAACAGTAGATTTCTCCCCCCTTCACGCCTTATGTTACGAAGTCAGCAGCTTTGAAGTCCCGCAATTCCTGGGCTTCCAGCAGTCAAATCTGTCAGTAACCTGTCTGTCAACAGCAGTCAAATTTGCGCTTCACCGCATAGAACCGTGATAAAGAGGATTAGACCGTAAAGAACGTACATGAAATGAAACGTAGGAGCTGGAAACCCGCAACCCGCAAGGTAATATTTCACATAGATGACAGAAGAATGGCTGGCCCACTGTGCATGAGGTGCTTGAACAAGCCATCATTGTATCTTCGTTATGGTAATAACGAGTATGGCGTTCCGTCACTGTAGCGTGCTCCCCAAATTCCCACGCACTAATCTACAGTGGACGAAGATGGAAAGGACAAGTGAAGGACGTCCATCTGAGTTTTCAGGACATGAGCTTCGGTTACACCTTGAACCCTGACAAAGCTTTCGTAAGAGTTCCTTCTTTCCCAGAAAGCGAGACACAGCAAATTTTGTGTCTCATACCGAACTTTCCGTAACGAAAACGTTCGTAAACTGTCACTTCGGAATTGGTTCTTCCGACGATTCCAGTCTTACCGAAATAGAGTAGTTTCGGCATATAGACCTTTCATGCAGAAAGGAAAGATGGTATCACGCCATAGCAATTTGCCCTGTGAAGGCCATGGCCATAGTAGGACAGTTCGACCTCTGAAGCTTACCGTCCTTGAACCGTACGCTTCGCTCTCAACCGAACACAATCTCACCAGACCTTCTCAGGTTGCTCTTGTGGAGGTATATTCCCGAGGTACACACTTGTTTGGTGCACGAAGTGGAACAGAAGATCGGAAAGCAGCTTTTCTTCGCTCCCATCCCATCCAACTCCTTCACAACAGCTGCGTGTGGAGTAGAAACTAGAACTGCCTCGTGGCTACAGTGCTACTTAGAGGAGCTTCGAAGCGTGCAAAGCCAAAAAGCTCTGCTGTGTAAGCGAGGTGACAGCTTAACAGGTGACTTCGGACGTGCATTATCGCTCTGCACGGGAATTACCAGGTAGACCTGGACTGGCTAGCCTGCTGGCACGCACTGACTGACTGGCTGATCAAGGGGAGGTCGAGTCGGGACAAAATCCTACAGCGCGCTGAACGATAAATTACCTTTCGATCCCGTGCTATTCCAGAACGTGTGGTCGATCACCCTGTGAATAATCCCTTCAATATTTATTTGATAGCCGCACCCTGCTTAATCAGTCAGCTTTAACCCTTTTTCCGACACGTGTCGTTCACACGCCGCGCTACGCGACGCGACATCCAAGAACACTCGCGCTGCACGTCAGCATCATGTCGAACTCCGCGCGATCGACGGCGCGGCTGGAGAAGCGGATGACGGACGCATTAGCGGCGAGACATAAGACCGTGAAGAAGGTTCCGAAGAACTTCGACGCGTTCGTGCTCAAGTTCCCGAGAATCAACGCGGCGCTCGAGCTGCTCCAAGAGGTGTACGACAAAATCGGTAAGTGCATAAGGCGCCTCAGGCGCATAAGGCGCATTAGGCGCATCAGTTGCAAAGCAATTGGCTTCAAATGACCCCTCTCGGTAGTCGTCTGGGTATAGCCAACTAACGGCTTCGCATAGCTTCGCATGGCGTCGCGTGATTTCGCGGTCAAGTTTCGTCGAATCAGTGCGGGGATGGAGTTCTCAATGTAGGGAGGTGCAGGACAAGTCCGATCATGCTGGTACAGTTTTGCGAGCGAAAGCGCCAGGAGATTTAAAACTGTTTTTTGGGCGTCCGTACGCTATTTCGTTAGCTCAATTGAAGATCTGTAATCTCCGCATTCCTTCTTCTCTCGTTTCGCTTCGTTGTTTCCTTTTTCATTCTGGTTGGTTATTTACCTTCCGTCACCTTCCGTCACCTTCTGTCACCTTCCGTAACCTTCCTCATCCCTGTCATCCCCGTCATCCCCGCCATCCCCGTCATCCCCGCCATCCCCGTCATCCCCGTCGTCACCGTCATCTCCATCTCTATCTCACCGCCTTGCATTGCGTGTGCAGTGCCCGAGGGCAAAGAAGGCATGTCCATGGACGAGTTAAAGGCCGCGCTCGCACAGCTGGAGGTACGTTCAGGCAGAACCGGCAGAACTCGCACAGAAGTCAAAACTGTCAGAACTGGCAGAACTGGCAAAACTGGCAAAACTGGCAGAACTGGGAGTAACTGGCAGAAGGGTCAGAATTGTTAGAACAACTGGCTGAACTGGCCGAACTGACAGAGTGGATGTGCATTATACTTGGACGCAGAGAAACCTGCAGCTTGAGTTGCTTCCTTTGTTTCAACTTATTCTGTGTGAAGCCTTTCGGTTCCTTGCATGCCAAAGGTGATGGTGGTGTGTGAGGTGGTGTTTGAGCGCGTCTATTAGCCTATGCATGACCCTGGCAAGTTAAGGATGCGAGGTGAAACCATCACAGTGAAAAAGTGGCATTTGTATCTGATGCGTTTCCCTTTCACACTTCAACCTCTGTTCAATCGCTGGCAATTGCAGGTGACAGTGAGTGAAGGCGAGCTGAAGGACATATTCGAGCAGGCTGAGTTTGACCTTTCGTATGGTGAAGGGTCCGACTCTGTTCAGACAGAGGAAACGAACTGACATTTCAACCAACCCCATTCCACTGTCAACCCAATCCCGTTGAACCACTGTCACTCAATCCCGTTTTAATGTCAATCGCAGGTGACAGTGAGCGAAGAGGAGCTGAAGGCCATATTCGAGCAGGCGGAGTTTGACCCTTCGTCTGGTGAAGGGTCGGACACTGTTCCAGCGGTGGAGGACACAGTGGTGTGCTTCAATGCGTTCGTGCTGTGCCTAGGCATTGTGTTCCTGCTTGAGTCGGCTGACAGCGAGCAGGTGTGTGTGAGGGAGTGAGGGTGGGAGGTTCAGCCTCTGCTAGGGAGGAAAAGGAGGCGATGGTGGTATGCTTCAATGTGTTCGGGCTGTGCGTGGGAATCGTGTTCCTGCTTGAGTTGGCTGACAGCGAGCAGGGGTGTGTGTGTGTGTGTGTGTGTGTGTGTGTGTGTGTGTGTGTGTGTGTGTGTGTTTATGTGTATGAGCTGATTCATACTTCTGTGCATGTGTCCATGCAATTGTGAACCACTGGTTGGCGTCATTGCCATGGATATGATCAAGGTGGTTGTGTGGTTTGTTCTGTCCACTTAGTAACATCTCTCGTCTTTCTTCCATAAAAAGTCCATTCTCAAATGGTACCTATTCGCCTCGTGCAATCTAGAAAAGGGCCTGACTGACGGTGTCTCCTACCGTTCCCCTCCCATCCATGGTCCGTCCACCCAATTCTCTCCCTGTAGCAGAAGTCACGCATGTGCTCAGGAGACATTATCACGGCGATTCCTGAGGCACCTCAAGCATCTCACTATCTTGTATCTGACTGTGTCTCCTGCCTTTTCCCTCCCATCCATTGTCTGACCACCCAATCTACTCTGGGCACAGGAGACAGACATCAACGCGGCGATTTCTGAGGCGCCTCAAGCATCTCACTCTGTCATGCCTGACAGTGTCTCCTACCTTTCCCCTCCCCTCCACCCAATCTACTTCGTGTAGCAGAAGTCACGCCTTGGCACAGGAGACATCAATGCGGCGTTTCAAATAATAGTGGATGCGTTTATTTACTTTGATGAGGACCACGACGGGCAGCTCACGCGGGAGGAGATTGAAAAGGGTTTCAGCAGCCACAACACGCTCAAGGAGGGCACGCTTCTCCGCAACATCTCCATGCGCATGCGTACGTTCTTGCTCAAACCCTGCGTCCCAGTATCCTGCTCTGTGCTCCACCATACAGCAGCAACTAATTTGTTTTTATTTTCCTGTTTTACTTTTCACTTCTTATTTTTTCAGAGGAAATGGACCGGGATTCCAACGGTGTGTGCACATTTGTAGAGTTCCTGAACGCATTTGTTGGTTGGGTGAGGTCTCAGTATGGGGACGCAGATTCGGATGCTGCTGCTGATGGAGATGCTTAACCATGTGCTCAGCAATACACTTCACTGTTTATTTATAATAAAGCAATAATGGTAGGCGCACTGTAGGATGGGGTGTATAAGATAGGTATCATTTTGGATGGAGCATAGCTGAGTTAGGATAATTGCTAAAGAGTAGTTTTTCTTCATGTAGAATTTTGAAGTGATTTATGGAGCTGATAAATTTGCACACGTACCAGTAGAAACGACTCAAAGAATAGGGTGTACGAAGTAGACTAGATCAAACAGGGTCCGTCCGATCGCGCTGTGTGGTTTCACCTCTGTGGGGGCTTTTCCTCTTCCGAGTCCCAACCTATCTCCGCGCCCTGCCCCCTTCCCCATGGGCCATCCCTCCCCGCCCCGCACAACCTCCCCGCGCCATCCCCCACCTTCCTCCCCCCGCTTCCCGTCTTTCTCCTGCCTCTCGCTGCTAATCCCGCCCAAACCCTAATTCATATTTCCTCCTCGCCGCTCAGTTTCTCTCTTTCCTGCTCTTCCTTTCCTCGTCCCTCAGGAGCCGCATTTGCGCCGCGCCTGCCTCTCCCTGCCTTGCTTAGACAAGGAGCCATTTAGTCAAGATGGTCAGAATTAGCGTTCTTAACGATGCGCTCAAGAGCATGTACAACGCGGAGAAGCGCGGGAAGCGGCAGGTGCTGATCCGCCCCAGCTCCAAGGTCATCATCAAGTTCCTCACTGTCATGCAGCGACACGGTGCGTGCGTGCTTGTGCGTGCGTCCCTGCGTGCTGCTCGTGCTTGCATATTCATTCTGTAAAATTCGTCATGCAGCGACACGGTGCGTGCGCGCTCGCTCGTTTTTTTCTGCGATACCCTTGTCGAGGTGCGGCGATTTTCGTCTCCCGCTTCTCACGGTCTATTTTCCTTCATCAAGCCTTCAAACCTAACGTTCCTACAGCGACCTGCTGCGCAGTATCGATGTTTGTTTGAGCAAGACGTTTCCATCTGGCGAGGAGCGAGGCCTTGTAGGCATTCTTTGGATGCGTAGGCCCTGTAGGCAGTCAGTCGTCCCTCGTCCCCGGTGTTCGTGACCATCTCCGCGCGGCATTATGCCGGCTAGCATGCGATGTTCAGAGGAGAGACGAGTCTTCAACAGAGTAGTCGGACCTAAGGCAGAGAATCAGATTCCTCATATTTATTAGCAATGTTGTAACGCTCTTCGTCTGGACTGGAAGCGGTTCTTCGTACAAACCAGGAGGGGGCGTTATTCCGAGTCGATCTTTGAGGCGCCCAAGACTTTGTTGCACGTTGTACCAAGCCGATCAAGGACAGCCGATCAGAGCCGTTGATCTTCCATCCAGCAGCGAGGACACAATCTCGTTAGTCCCTTTCCTCGAATTAGCTGCTCGTTAGGCTCTAAGGGTCTTATTCTAGGGATTGGCTCGTTAGGGTAGGCTTGATCACGCCAGGCTTAGACAGCATTTCGGTATCGCAAATATCGCCGTGCGATATGCCTCGATCGTGTCGGTATCTTCAAAGCTTCGCACTCTCGGTTCCTAAACCTCGTTACTTTCTTTGACAGGACCAAGCCTGTCGTTTTGGAATCAGCCTTGGTTGAATCCTTCGTTACTTTGGCAAGGAGATGTGGAGCTGGGTGTGCTGAAGCCTATGATTCTCAGCCACTCTCGTGCGTGTGTTTGCGGAGTTACCAGACATGATGCTTCGTTACCTCCCCTGTGCGTCTTGTCCCCTTGCCCCTAAATGCTGGTTACCAGGTTACATCGGCGAGTTCGAGCTGGTGGACGACAGGCGGGCGGGCAAGATTGTCGTGGAGCTGAACGGACGGCTGAACAAGTGCGGCGTGATCAGCCCGCGTTACGATATCGCTGTCGGCGATATTGAGAACTGGACCGAGCGCCTGCTGCCCTCCCGTCAGGTGGGTATTGCAACTTGAGTGGGGTAGTGTAACGACTGTACGGTTGTGTATGTGTTGATTATGGAGCGCATGCAACAAGTGTTGAGTAGTGTAAGCAGTTTGTGGGGGAAGGAGGCGAGTGGAGGGAGATGGAAGAGGAGGGGGGAAAGAAGGGGGCGGGTGGGGGGAATAAGTGCGTGTAGCCCTCGTCCGAGGAGTGGAGGATTAGCGTCTAAGGGGAGTTTTTCACTTGGGGGGTTAGTGCCTAGTGTGAGCAGCAAGTCAAGCGTTTCCCATGCTGTTGAGGTGAGAAGGTTGGAAATGGATAATAAAATGCTGTCTGGCAGTGAAATGCAGGGTGGGAGGGGTAACAGATGGAAAGGGTCTTTATGGGTGATTCCGCATTGTTTGGCGCTGGAACACGTTGGGAGCCTCACTGTGGGTGTCACAGGTTCCTGGTTGCTTGTCTGTGCCTGATGTTCTATTGGGTTGTGTTTCTTGTGCCCTTGCTGACCTCTTTATGCCCCTGTTGTTGTGTTTCCTTACCGTGTTACCAGTTCGGTTACATTGTGCTCACCACGTCTAGCGGCATCATGGACCACGATGAGGCCAGGCGGAAGAACGTGGGAGGCAAGGTGCTCGGCTTCTTCTACTAAGCTGAAAATGGCTCCATCTGATAATGCGATGCTCTCAGTCCATGATTCCGAAGCAGCGTGACTGGTATCATTTAGCCAGCCTAGCCAACAGCCCTGCCCTGCCTTGTCACCAATATCACCCAGTTGGCTCTGCCTAGCTTTTTGTTTGCCATGCATGGTCCCTTATATTCCAAGTGGACGTGTAAAGCTCACAGCAAAGCATAATCTCCATGGCTTCAGAACTTGTGATGCTTGGCTTGTGTAGAAAAATGTCTGGCCAACCTGCCTGTAGTGAGAATTGCCTGTAGGGAGAAAGATCTCGGTTTCTGGAACATACTCTTTCACGTCACCATCCCGAATAATCGGTGGTGTACTTTTCGCGCGCCCGGATTGCTCAACCATTGGCTGTCGTTGTCACCCTGCGGAATCTTGATTTGCTTTTGTCAGTGAGAGTGTGACGGGATTGGTTTCCACTTCACGAATAACGGTTGTGCCTGGTCTGCTGCGTTCCAAAGCGGTAATAGGCATCACTTGGTGCACTTCACTTGAGGCTTTAGCGTGGGCCTAAGTTTCTGTTGCACCTCTTGGGAATGGGTAAATAACAGTGAGATGGCTGAATCTGAGTCTAAGAGGAGAGTAGATTGACGGGATAAAGGTCGAATCCGACGCGCTAACAGAAGCCATCTGACAATTGACGCGTCGCGATTAGGGCTGAAACTAGATTCGCCATTCGTGTCAAAGTCGCGACCAAAATTGTCACCTGACGTCGACCCGTGTCGCGACGTGCTCACAGAAGCCATCTGAGTATCGCAGGCGTTACTAGTTCGATTTTCAGGCTACGATGGAAGGGGCCGGAAGTGGCGGGAGGGGGAAACGGGGCGCGAAAAAGAAAGGCGGGACGGAGAAAGTGAAGAAGGAGCTGAAGGGGGTGATGAAGGCTGTGATTCGCGAAGGATCGGGATTGCCGGTGGAGGACGGTCATCAGGTAACATGAGATAGTGATACGCGAATTTTAGTAATGGCAGTGAGAGGAGCTTACAGGGGGGTTGCGTCAGATAAGGTGAGGACGCAGCTAGCGGGAGTGATGAAGCCAGTGATTCCAATTCAGGCGCCTAATTTGGTTCGCGCGTGGTGATGGCAGAATTCGTAAACTACGTTGAGACGTCTCAAAACCAACTTGTTATCACGTGGCTATATTTAGGGTGTGATGAAGGCGGTAATTTGCAAAGGATCGGGACTTCTGTGAAAAGAGGCACCATCAATTACCAATCCTTCTCACCACCCGTTTTCTCCCATCATTCCGTTGTCCACTGCACCACTCACCATGCTTATGCTTTCCCTCCCCACCCATCTTGTTCCGACCATCATTCCCCCCACCCCACCCCCCTCACCATCCTCTCTTCCCCAGCACCACCCGCTGTGTCCTGGTCAGAATTTTTGACGTACTTTCGTGTGTCACCAATATTTTAGTGATTCTCCTCCTCTCTCGTCCCCCCCTCCACCCCCTTTCCCCTCTTCGACCCCCACCCCTCGTGCCCCCACCGCCCGCCAGGCGGTTTTCCACTGCACCACTCGTGCAGCTTATGCTTCTTCCGTCCCGTTCTTCCCCCCACACCACCACCACCCTCCCGTCCTGATCATCAATTCTTCAACCCCCACCCCTCGTCGTGCCCCCACCGCCCTCCAGGTGGTTTTCCACTGCACCACTCGTGCAGCTTCGGGCCACATATGTGATTCCACCCGAGCCGAACACGGAGGTACGGCATGAGGTGTGAGGTATGGCATGAGGTGTGAGGTATGGCATGGGGTGTTCGGTATGGCAGGGGCATGACATTTGGTTTGGGGTTTGAGGGATGGCACGATATGGCATGGTATGAGCTGTGTCATGGGGTGTGAGGTTTGGCATGGGGTGTGAGTTTAGGATGGGGTGTGAGGTATGGCATGCAGTGGGAGGTATGGCATGGGGTGTGAATCGTGATTACCTACGAGTACCTACACCCGTTATGCCAAGTAATACCATTTTTGCCCATTCTTTGCCCACTTACACCTCGTTGCAGTGTATGTTTTTTGAGAATTCTGCGTATGTTTTTTGAGAATTCTGCATATGTTTTTTGAGAATTCTCGAGTAATACCATCTTTGCCCATTCTTTGCCCACTTACACCTCATTGCTCCTGTGAATGCTTGTGTGAGCAGGGTCGGGGCGGCCGCGGCGAGTGGTGGTGGGGGAGAGCTGGCTGGTGGCAGCACTGGAGCATGGACTGTCCACCATGCGCGAGGGCGAGGTGGCACTGGTGAGATTCCTGAATCCCATTTAGTGTCGAGCTGGTGGCAGTGGTGAGAGCAAGCATGGGGGAGACGAAGCACATGGCCAGCATAGGCGGCTGGTGGCAGCATTGGAGCACGGGCTGTGCACCATGCGCAAGATCGAGGTGGCCTTGGTGGCCCTTAATCTCTTTCCTTGATTCCTTCCCCTCCGCGCCGAGCCCTCCTCCCTGGCCATTTCCTGTTTTTTCCCATCCTCCCCGGGTCCCTCACTCACCTGCAGTTCAAAGTAGAGCCCTCAGCCCACTACAGCGACCCTGGACGTGAGTCCAGTCAACAATCCCCCCTCCCTTTTCCCGTCCTCCCCCTCCTCCCTTCCTCCCCCGTGATCTCCTGTCCTGCCCCATCCTCCTCGGGTCTCTCGCTCACCTGCAGATCAAAGCAGGGCCCTCAGCCCACTACAGCGACCCCTCTCAACAATCAACTCAAAAATGCCCTCTCCCCTTTCCCGTCATCCCGGGTCATCTGCTGTTCCTTCCCATCCTCCCCGGGCCTCTCACCCACCCGCAGTTCAAAGCAGAGCCCTCAGCCCATTACAGCGACCCTGCCTGCCAGATAAAGCCTCCCCCAGGCGTGCCTGCGGATGAGGAGCTGCAGCTGGAGGTGGAGGTGGTATCTGCGGCTGCTGTGTGGGTGCTGGCGGGGAAGCGAGAGAAGAAGGAGGGTGGTGCAGAGGGAGAGGGGGAGGAGGGGAAGGAGGAGGAAGTGGAGGATAGTGTGTGTGGGTATGAGGAAGACGAGCGGTTTATCACGAAACAGGTGGGTGGGTGTGAGTCAGAGTGAAAGAGCTTCAGAGTGAAAGAGTTTCATAGTGAAAAGCTTCATAGTGAAAGAGCTTCATAGTGAAAGAGCTTCAGAGTGAAAGAGCTTCATAGTGAAAGAGCTTTAGTAAGAAAAGAGTGAGGAATGAGGTCTTTAGTTCGTCCATGGGGAGTGTAGATTGGCCGTCTACCGAACACAATAGAGGACTTGAAAGACTGAAAGGGTGTCCTTTGACTTTCCTGTCCATTGTAAGACTGGAAGAGTTGACCTTCCCCCTACTACTTCTCCTCTTAGCTTTCCCTCCCCCACTCACCTCATTCTGTGATATGTGAAACCTGAATCAAAGCCTCTGTGGTTTGTGGTGGTATCAGACGGTTGAAGAGGGCAGAGGGTGGGAGCAGCCGAGGCCGCCTTATGAAGTCAAGATACGGTACCTCCTCCTTCTCTTGCCCTGCCCTGCCCTGCCCTGCCCATTCAAGTCATCATTCTTCAAGTCCACCTTGCCTTGCCCTTTTTAGTCAAATTCGGTGTGCATGTGTATGTGTATGTGTGTATGTGTATGTGTGTATGTGTATGTGTATGTGTGTATGTGTATGTGTGTATGTGTATGTGTATGTGTGTATGTGTGTATGTGTATGTGTGTATGTGTATGTGTATGTGTGTATGTGCATGTGTGTATGTGTGTATGTGTGTATGTGTGTATGTGTGTATGTGTGTATGTGTGTATGTGTGTATGTGTGTATGTGTGTATGTGTGTATGTGTGTATGTGTGTATGTGTGTATGTGTGTATGTGTGTATGTGTGTATGTGTGTATGTGTGTATGTGTGTATGTGTGTATGTGTGTATGTGTGTATGTGTGTATGTGTGTATGTGTATGTGTGTATGTGTGTATGTGTGTATGTGTGTATGTGTGTATGTGTGTATGTGTGTATGTGTGTATGTGTGTATGTGTGTATGTGTGTATGTGTGTATGTGTGTATGTGTGTATGTGTGTATGTGTGTATGTGTGTATGTGTGTATGTGTGTATGTGTGTATGTGTGTATGTGTGTGTGTGTGTGTGTGTGTGTGTGTGTGTGTGTGTGTGTGTATGTGTGTATGTGTGTATGTGTGTATGTGTGTATGTGTGTATGTGTGTATGTGTGTATGTGTGTATGTGTGTATGTGTGTATGTGTGTATGTGTGTATGTGTGTATGTGTGTATGTGTGTATGTGTGTATGTGTGTATGTGTGTATGTGTGTATGTGTGTATGTGTGTATGTGTATATGTGTGTATGTGTGTGTGTGTGTGTGTGTGTGTGTGTATGTGTGTATGTGTGTATGTGTGTGTGTGTGTGTGTGTATGTGTGTATGTGTGTATGTGTGTATGTGTGTATGTGTGTATGTGTGTATGTGTGTATGTGTATGTGTGTATGTGTGTATGTGTGTATGTGTGTATGTGTGTATGTGTGTATGTGTATGTGTGTATGTGTGTATGTGTATGTGTATGTGTGCATGTGTATGTGTGCATGTGTATGTGTGCATGTGTATGTGTGCATGTGTATGTGTGCATGTGTATGTGTGCATGTGTGTATGTGTGTATGTGTGTATGTGTGTATGTGTGTATGTGTGTATGTGTGTATGTGTGTATGTGTGTATGTGTGTATGTGTGTATGTGTGTATGTGTGTATGTGTGTATGTGTGCATGTGTATGTGTGCATGTGTATGTGTGTATGTGTATGTGTGTATGTGTGTATGTGTGTATGTGTGTATGTGTGTATGTGTGTATGTGTGTATGTGTGTATGTGTGTATGTGTGTATGTGTGTATGTGTGTATGTGTGTATGTGTGTATGTGTGTATGTGTGTATGTGCATCTGCATCTGCCTATGTGTGTGTTTGTGCCAATGCTTGTGCATGTGCATGTGCAAGTGCACATGCATGCATGCACGCACACTCACGTCTCCCGGCCATCTGCACCAATTGCCGAAACTCCCTGTCATCTGCACCATTTGCCCCATCTCCCCACCATCTCCCCCGCCTGCCAGGCTGGAAGCTCGCCCTCTGGGCTCTTCAACGCCCTTCTATGCAGCTGGCACGGACTCCTCCACCCCCCTGCACCTCGCCCTCGGCTCAGCTCGGGTGAGTCAGGAGAGGGGTGAGTCAGGAGAGAGGAGGCTGGGGAGAGAGTGGGTGGAGTTTTTAGTCGGGTCAAGTTTTGAGTCGACTAGGAGGCTGGGGAGAGAGTGGGTGGAATTTTTAGTCGGGTCAAAGGGAAGCTCGCCCTCTGGGCACTTCAACGCCCTTCTATGCGGCTGGCACGGACTCCTCCACCCCCTGCACCTTGCTCTCGGATCAGTGCGGGTGAGTCATGGAGGAGCGGGTAGGGTGGTCAGGGTGTAGATGCTCGCGGGGGGGGAGGGGGTCGTCTTTGCCTCCTCTCCCCACACCATCTCCTTCATACGCCCCATCCGCCCATTTCTCTCTCTGCGTTCCCTTCATCCTCCCTTCCTCTTGTTTCCCTTTCCCCAGCTCCCACCAGCTCTTGATCTGGCTCTCTCACATGCTCACTGGGGGAAAAGGCGGTCGTTTTTGCCTCCCTATCCCCACGTCATATGCCTTAGATGCCCCACCTGCTTCCTTTCCTTTGCCCTCTGTGCCCCTTGTTCCCCGTGTTTCCCCAGCTCCCGCCAGCTCTCGATCTGGCTCTCTCTCACATGCTCACAGGGGAAAAAGCGGTCGTATTCGCCTCCGCCCCCCACACCATCCCCCCTCCGCCCGACACCCCTCTCCCTCCACCACCTCCTGCCATTGCCCCTGCTCGGGGAACTGCCGAGCCTGACGCTGGGAGTGCCGAGGCTGAGGCTGGGAGTGCCGAGGCTGGGAGGCTCGGGCTGGCTGTTCCGGTTGTGGTGGTGCCGGCGCCGCCAGAGGGGGTGGTGGATGTGGAGTATCATGTGGAGCTGGTTAAGATCGTTCAGGTGCGGGGGCTGTGACGGCGGTACAGGTTAGTGATGAAGGGTGTTGTGATGATATGAGTCACCTGCGCCAGAGGGGCGGTGGATGTGGAGTATCATGTGGAGCTGGTTAAGATCGTTCAGGTGCGGGGGCTGTGACGGCGGTACAGGTTAGTGATGAAGGGTGTTGTGATGATATGAGTCACCTGCGCCAGAGGGGGCGGTGGATGTGGAGTATCATGTGGAGCTGGTTAAGATCGTTCAGGTGCGGGGGCTGTGACGGCGGTACAGGTTAGTGATGAAGGGTGTTGTGATGATATGAGTCACCTGCGCCAGAGGGGGCGGTGGATGTGGAGTATCATGTGGAGCTGGTTAAGATCGTTCAGGTGCGGGGGCTGTGACGGCGGTACAGGTTAGTGATGAAGGGTGTTGTGATGATATGAGTCACCTGCGCCAGAGGGGGCGGTGGATGTGGAGTATCATGTGGAGCTGGTTAAGATCGTTCAGGTGCGGGGGCTGTGACGGCGGTACAGGTTAGTGATGAAGGGTGTTGTGATGATATGAGTCACCTGCGCCAGAGGGGGCGGTGGATGTGGAGTATCATGTGGATCTGTTTAAGATCGTTCAGGTGCGGGGGCTGTGACGGCGGTACAGGTTAGTGATGAAGGGTGTTGTGATGATATGAGTCACCTGCGCCAGAGGGGGTGGTGGATGTGGAGTATCATGTGCAGCTGGTTACGATCGTCCAGGTGGGAGGGGGTGATGGGTGAGGTGAGTGAGGGGCGTGGCTGTGATGGTATAGATTTGTGATCTGTAGCTGACTCATGAGTCCCCTAGGAGGGAAAGAGGGGGGGGGAGAGGGGGGATGGTGGTGTGATAAAAGTGAACGGACCTTTCATTTACTCATACGCCAGTGAGGGTGGTGGATGTGGAGTATCATGTGCAGCTGGGGAAGATCGTCCAGGTGGGGTATTCTTGTTGCTTGTATGGTATGCCACCCACCTATATTGGAATTGCTGTTTCCATTTCTAGGAATGGATCACTCAAGCATGTATGGTGTTCTCGTGTATGGTGTTCTCGTGTATGGTGTTCTCGTGTATTGTGTTCTCGTGTATGGTGTTCTCGTGTATGGTGTTCTCGTGTATGGTGTTCTCGTGTATGGTGTTCTCGTGTATTGTGTTCTCGTGTATGGTGTTCTCGTGTATGGTGTTCTCGTGTATGGTGTTCTCGTGTATGGTGTTCTCGTGTATGGTGTTCTCGTGTATTGTGTTCTCGTGTATGGTGTTCTCGTGTATGGTGTTCTCGTGTATGGTGTTCTCGTGTATGGTGTTCTCGTGTATGGTGTTCTCGTGTATTGTGTTCTCGTGTATGGTGTTCTCGTGTATGGTGTTCTCGTGTATGGTGTTCTCGTGTATGGAGTTCTCGTGTATGGTGTTCTCGTGTATGGTGTTCTCGTGTATTGTGTTCTCGTGTATGGTGTTCTCGTGTATGGTGTTCTCGTGTATGGTGTTCTCGTGTATTGTGTTCTCGTGTATGGTGTTCTCGTGTATGGTGTTCTCGTGTATGGTGTTCTCGTGTATGGTGTTCTCGTGTATGGTGTTCTCGTGTATTGTGTTCTCGTGTATGGTGTTCTCGTGTATGGTGTTCTCGTGTATGGTGTTCTCGTGCATGGTGTTCTCGTGTATTGTGTTCTCGTGTATGGTGTTCTCGTGTATGGTGTTCTCGTGTATGGTGTTCTCGTGCATGGTGTTCTCGTGTATGGTGTTCTCGTGTATGGTGTTCTCGTGTATTGTGTTCTCGTGTATGGTGTTCTCGTGTATGGTGTTCTCGTGTATGGTGTTCTCGTGTATGGTGTTCTCGTGTATGGTGTTCTCGTGTATGGTGTTCTCGTGTATGGTGTTCTCGTGTATGGTGTTCTCGTGTATGGTGTTCTCGTGTATGGTGTTCTCGTGTATGGTGTTCTCGTGTATGGTGTTCTCGTGTATGGTGTTCTCGTGTATGGTGTTCTCGTGTATGGTGTTCTCGTGTATTGTGTTCTCGTGTATGGTGTTCTCGTGCATGGTGTTCTCGTGTATGGTGTTCTCGTGTATGGTGTTCTCGTGTATTGTGTTCTCGTGTATGGTGTTCTCGTGTATGGTGTTCTCGTGTATGGTGTTCTCGTGTATGGTGTTCTCGTGTATGGTGTTCTCGTGTATGGTGTTCTCGTGCATGGTGTTCTCGTGTATTGTGTTCTCGTGTATGGTGTTCTCGTGTATGGTGTTCTCGTGTATGGTGTTCTCGTGCATGGTGTTCTCGTGCATGGTGTTCTCGTGTATGGTGTTCTCGTGTATTGTGTTCTCGTGTATGGTGTTCTCGTGTATGGTGTTCTCGTGTATGGTGTTCTCGTGTATGGTGTTCTCGTGTATGGTGTTCTCGTGTATGGTGTTCTCGTGTATGGTGTTCTCGTGTATGGTGTTCTCGTGTATGGTGTTCTCGTGTATGGTGTTCTCGTGTATGGTGTTCTCGTGTATGGTGTTCTCGTGTATGGTGTTCTCGTGTATGGTGTTCTCTGTCGCGTTATTAACACTTAGCTGGCAACTAAGTGTGAATACCACAGCAGCCAAGGTGAGGGTGTACTATAGTTTACCGCTTTTGTACTCTAATTTCATTTGTGTGCTTGGAGTGTATTGTACTGTACTGCAGAGCCGAGTAGCTGGGGAATTTGAGGTGGTTAGTGGGAGGCGAATTCAAGGAGGTTGGTGGAGACGAATTCAATTCCAGCCTGTGAATTCAATTTCGAAGTCACAAGGCTGGAAGGCGAATTCAATGCCAGCCTGGGAATTGAATTCGAAGTCACCAGGCTGGAAGGCAGTGCATGCCTAGTGGGCCCAGTGGGAACACAGCTAGCACCTTGGAGACCTCGCGAGCAGCCCGGCTGACTCGCTTGGTGCACAGGAGCTTGCTTGTGGAGGAAGCAACCTAGGCAGGGGGTGGGAATAGATGTAGGCAGGAGTAGCACTCGGGCTTCTTGCTTTTTGCTTGTATGTTTCTCATTTACTGCAATTTGTTTTCCTAATCCAGAGGGAACTAGCAGTAGGAGAAGCTATAAGCAATTTGACGGAGCCCCTGAGGGGGAGTGTTACGCTTGCTACATACAAGCAAAAAGGTTGTTGACTGTCTTAAGTACAGGAGATAAGCTAGTAGCCTCGAGTCGCTCACGGTGATGCGCCGTGAGGAATGAGTAGGCACGATCAGGAACTGCACACTCATCAGCTGCGCTCGGGACTCCGTTTCCCCGCAAGGATGATGGAGGGACAAGGCCTACCAATCAGGACACCTGGATTCCGTGCTGAAGAGGGCGATGCTAACGCGCGCGGGGGTCAGGGATCAGATCGAGAGAGGGAGGGCGACCGACAAGGGGAGCCGCCGCCTAGCGCTACTGGTGGATCAGTCGTTGGCGGGAGTGGAATCGGCCATGTGAGGAGTGGATCTCGAGGGGATAATCCTGCTCAAGGAAGAGAAGAGTTTCGGGAAGAACGGCACAGTCAGCGCGGGGAAGATGAACATCACGAAGAAAGACGCCGTCAGTGAGGAGGAGAAGCGTACCACAGCTTTTCGGCGGGTGGATACGAGGCTACTGAAGCTAGGCAAGGTGGTCGGCCGGTGGACAGCGGGGATAGAGGGAACACGAGCTGGGGGACGGGCCGCACGATGAACGCAGCTCTACCGAAAATTGAAGTGCCGGACCGTTTCTCGGGGACACCAGGGGAGGAGCCCACGCTCAAGAACTACTTGATGATGATAGACGACCTGCGTTACCTTTGGGAGAGGGAGGGCTTAGACCCTATCGAGTTCTTTAGAGGTTTGGGACGGACTCTGAAAGGCGAGGCCCTGACTCACTACCGCGTGGAAAGGCAGGGGCTGTTGATGCAGTGCAAGAGAGGCGATTTCGCACCAGCAATGATAGCGGACCGATTTCTGGAGAGTTTGCAGGAGCAATTCCCGGGGCACTCGGCGGAACGGATGGCGGAATTTCAGAACTTCGTGCGTGCCACTTCGGAGTCGCTGCTAGCCTATTACAACAGGCTGCTGGAGCTGGCAGAGGACATGGGGTGTATGGAGGAGCGCCTCTTGGTGACGAAATTTGTCAACGGTCTGGACAAGGACCTGATAGGCGACATGAGGAGTCAGCTGTACGTCCTGGGAGTACGCGCCACGCTGCGGCAAGTCTACAAGGTGGCGAAAGAAGTGGAGGAAGGGAAGAGATTTTATGATGGCATGCAGGGGTCGAGTTCCAGCCGACCGAACGAGCGGAGACGGCCGGCCTGGGCAGCTATGGAAGGAAGAAGGGGAGAGGAAGAGCGGAAAGAGAGGCCATCGGAAGACCCGAGACGCTACCATTAATGTGGAGAGCAAGGACATCTTCGGAGGGATTGTACGGTGGGAATAATCTGCGACACCTGTGGAGCAAAGGGACATTTCAGGCGTGACTGCCCCAAGGCGCCGACCTGCACGGGGTGTGGGAAGAAAGGCCATACCGAAGCTAGATGCTACAGCAAGGGAGACAGGGCGAAAGGGAAAACTGCAAGGGAGCTGCAGTTAGAACGAGAGTTGGCGAAACTGAAAGCTCAGATGGAGAAATCAGGGATCAGTGAAGACCCCGAGAAAGCTCTGCTGGCTTGGGGGGATGACGAAGGGGAAGATTCCGAGGAAGGGGAACCAGAATACGGGACCATGGCTATGCCGCCAAGGGAGAGGGGAGACCTGGGGCTGCGCAGCGGAGGGGCAGATGGCAGAGCGGAGCAGAAATTACAAGAGCGGAGAATTTCCAGGCGGCAGGAGAATCAAGGGAAAGTCAGCACCGCACGGCGTCACCCCGAGGAAAGGCTAGTCTGTCAGCCCACAGCCTTAGTGGTGGAACCGAAAGCCGTGGCGGTCAGAGGAATCTTGGTAGAAAACGCGGTAGTGGATACAGGAGCACAGAGCGTCCTAATCGGGAAGAAGCTGACGGCACAACTGCGAGCGCAAGGGAACCTAGAGACTGT